TCAATGACATACAAATATAAGGTTAAGAAAAGTGCTTTCCTTTTGCATTTATATGTTATTCAAATCCTACATGGAGTTTCAGGGCCCATGGGGAGCTCTCCATTTTATAATCACTCCCTTACATTGATAAAGGCACAGTTCCTCAGGAGTGAAGATCAGTCACACAGCTTTCCTTTCCCTTCCATGTCTTATATGATATACTGTAATTCATTTATTTAGAACAAAAATGAAACTCTATGTTCTTAACAACAATATTTTAGCAATTATAGTATTATTTTTGTTTCTATGTTATCTATTTTATTTTTATGGAAAACTCAAATGTATGTTTAAAGTCTTCAGTCAATAGTGGTAGAATTACATATTTTTCACACTTTAAATAATTCAGGACATAAAATGTGATGATACCGATCATCAAAATGCTTAAAATAAGGAAAAGAGGTTTTCTGCAGAGCAAGGGGAACTTTATAATTCATTGAGAAATTACACCTGGTTGTATTGTGTCTATGCCCTAGAGATTTGTGGGAGTTTGCACATGAGAGTGATGACTTAGAGTACCTGGCAGAAGAAATTTCTAAGCAGCAAAGCACTCAAGATTTGGCCTGGCTGCTTCTGACAGCCCAAGAAATGACTTATAGTTGGAACTTAAACAGGAGGCAGAGTGTAAATGTTTGGAAAATTTTCAGACTAGCCATGTGGCAATAAAAGAAAAAGCTATTCAAGACAGAAATTCAAGCAAGCTGTGGTGCAACCACTTGTTAGAGATACTGGCATAACTAAAAGGGAGCCGGATGCTAACATCTAAGACAATGGGAAAAAGACCTCAACGGCATTTCAGAGACCTTGGCAGCAGCACCTCTCATTATAGGTTCAGAGGCCTAAGAGGAATGAATGGTTTTTTGGGCCAGGACCAGCGCCCCACTGCCCTGTGCAGCCTCAGGACCCTGCTCCCTGCATCTTTGCTGCTCCAGCTCTAGCCGTGGTTCAAAGGGGCCTAGGTATACCTCCAGCTGCTACTTCAGAGAATGCAAGCCGTAAGCTTGGGCAGCTTCAATGTGGCATTAAGCCTGCAGGTATTTAACTGCGAATACAAGAGTGAAGGCTTAGCAGCTTCTGCCTAGATTTCAGAGGATGTATGAGACAGCCTGAGTGCCAAGGCAAAAGCCTGCTGCAGGGGCTGAGCCCTCCCAGAGAACCTCCACTAGGGCAGTGCCAAGAAAAAATACGGGATCGGAGGTCCCACACAGAGTCCCCACAGGGGCAGTGCCTAGGGTAACTATGAGAAGGGGGCCACCATCCCCAGACCTCAGAAGGGTAGATCCACTGACAGCTTGCACCCTGTGCCTGGAAAAGCCACAGGCGCTCAATCCCAGCTCAAGAGAGCAGCCTTGGGGGATGAACCCTGCAAAACCGCAGGGGGAGAGCTGCCCAAGGGCTTGGGGGCCCCCTCCTTGCACCAGTGTGTCCTGGATGTGGGACACAGAGTCAAGGATTATTCTGGAGCTTTAAGATTTAACAACTGCCAGGCGTAGTGGCTCATGCCTATAATTCCAGCACTTTGGAAGGCCGAGGAGGGTAGATAACTTGAGGTCAGGAACTTAAGACCAGCCTGGCCAACATGGTGAAACCCCATCTCTACTAAAAATATAAAAATTAGCCAGGTGTGGTGGCAGACACCTTCAATCCCAGCTACTCAGGAGGCTGAGGCAGGAGAATCACTTGAATTCAGGTGGCAGAGGTTGCAGTGAGCTGAGATAGTGCCATTGCACTCCACCATGAGTGACAAGAGAGAGACTCCATCTCAAAAAAGAGAAAGATTTAGTGACTGCACTGCTGGGTTTCAAAGTTGCAGGGAACCTCTAGCCCCTTTCTTTTGGCAAATTTCTCCCTTTGAGAATGGAAAGGTTTATCCAATGCTTGTTCCTCTATTGTATCTTAGAAGGAAATGACTTGCTATTTGATTTTACAGGCTCATGGGTAGAAGGCATTTGCCTCATCTCAGATGAGACTCTGGGCTTTGAATTTGAGATAATGCTGGAATGATCTAAGACTTTGGGGGATTATTGGGAAGACATGGTTGTATTTTACAATACGGGAAACACATGAGATCTGGGAGGGGCCGGGGTGGGATTATAGTTTAAATATTTTGTCCCTGCCCAAATCTCATGTTGAATTGTGAATCCCAATGTTGGAGGTGAGGCCTTATGAGAGGCGTTTTGATGATATCCCTCATGGCTTGGTGCTGTCCTCATACTAGTGAGTGAGTTCTTGCAAGATCTGGTTTAAAAGTGTGCAGCACCTCCACCCCCCTTGCTCGCCCCTGCTCTGCCATTTGCCTTCTGCCATAAGTGAAAGCTTCCTGAGACCTCCCCAGAAGTCAAGCAGATGTCAGTGCCGTGCTTCCTGTATAGCCTGCAGAACTGTGAACCAATTAATCCTCTTTTCTTTATAAATTACCCAGTCTCAGATATTTCTTTATAGCAATGTAAGAATGGACTAATACGCTAATCAAGAAAGTAAATACCATCCAAAGGCATTAAGATTGACTAAAAATTTTTAAATGTAAACATTCTGAATTTTTCTTCCTGTTATTAATGCTTAATGAAGTCCTGGAAATGGGATTGGAGAAGTGGATCCAAATACATCCACATCTACTGGTGCTTTCAGCTGGGCCTTATCTGCATTCTCTCTCTGCTATGGTCTGAGTGCTTGCATCCTCCCAAAATTCATATGTTGAAATCTAATCTCTAATGTGGTGGTATTAAGAGGTAGGAAACAATTAGGTCCTGAGGGCTCTGCCTTCATGAATGGGATTACTGCCCTTATAAAAGAGGCCCAAGGCACATTACACTGTGGAATACTATGCAGACATACAAAACAATGAGTTCATGTCCTTTGGAGGGACATGGATGAATCTGGAAACCATCATTCTCAGCAAACTGACACAAGAATAGAAAATCAAACTCCACATGTTCTCACTCACAGGCAGATGTTGAACAATGAGAACACACGAACACAGGGAGGGGAGCATCACACACTGGGATCTGTTGGGGGGGACTAGGGGATGGACAGCGGGGATTAGGGAGGTTGGGGAGGGATAACATGGGGAGAAATGCCAGATATAGATGATGGGGGGATGGAGGCAGCAAACCACTTTGCCTTATATGTACCTATGCAACAATCCTGCATGATCTGCACATGTCCCCCTGAACCTAAAGTGCAATAAAATATATGTATATATATATAAAAGAGGCCCAAGGAAGCTTGTTTGCCCCTTCTACCACGTGAGGACATAGAACAATAGCCCCATTCATGAGGCAGAGGGACAGACACCAAATCAGTCCTTACCAGACACCAAATCAGCTAGCTCCTTATCTTGAACTTTCCAGCCTCAAGAAGTGGGAGCAATAAATTTCTGTCATTTATAAATTACCGTATCTAAGGTATTTTGTTATAGTAGTCCAAAAGGACTAAGATAACCCCCTTCATAACGGTAGTTAGAGTCACATCAAGAAATAAGGCTAAGTTGGAGCCAGGAACATTTATTCACAAGAGGAAGACAGGAATTGGACTGGCTGCAGAGAGTCCCACAGAGTCAGAGACCATCCACCTCAGCTACAGTATGGGTCTCAGCACTGTATTTCCAGTGTTAGTGCTATTCTCAATTCTGTCCCTAGTTCCTGCTACTGAGGAAGTCCACACTCAGCAGGACAGTATTCTGGTCTGCCATGAATTCAAACACAATCTGTAAAGATAGTTAAGCTACATCTTTGCTTGGGGGCTTTAGAGAATTATTGACTTGAAGCAATAAGAGAAATGTCTGGGCTGGGTAGTCCTCAAAGACTCCCATGTTGTTCTAGATGAAATATCAAGGCTGAGCATCTGGTGCTCCCAACTTAGTTCTAGAAATGTCTATGGAGGGATAGTGAGTGGGGCTCTCTATGGCAGTGATTGCCTCTAATGAAGGAACCAAAAGCCAAGCAAGGATTAGGGTGGGCTTCTTGTTTTAGGAAAAGTGATGATGGAGCTCTTCATAGGAAGCTTTTAAGATCGAGGTAGGATCCTGCTTGGAGGATCCTAGCCTGGCAGTCTCGGTCAGCCCGGTGGTAGAGGTGAAGAGTGTGAGAGCTGGACTCACTTTGGCACACAAGGTCCAGGAATGAGTTGACAACCAAGGCCCCATGGCTATGGAAGGTTATATCACATGACCCCAAAGCATGGCAGGGCAGCCAGGGGAGCAGTTCTGCTTCTCCACCTTGGGCATGCAGGATAACATCAAGAATGGTAACACTGAAGGCCTGATGTTGTCAATATTTATTATAAGCACACTCATAATCTTAAATTTGCACTTTATCCTGGCTTCCATGGTGCCTGTTGTATTTATGAGTGAATAGTTGGGGATGACAGAATCTAATCTTTCAGTTACGTTTTAAATTTTATGTTCCTTAGAGTTACAAAAAGTCTGTTCCAAGGATTAGGGCTGATGGCTCTTATCCTGCTCCTTACAGATAAAGTGACATTTCCATTGCCTAGTATGGAACCAATGTATCACATGAATGTGTGCTTACTTAGAACTAGTCTTATATCAGGAATGAGGATCCAGGGATCATTGCAAAGAAAGAAATAATTCACAGAAACCCTGTACTCTCTGGATAAGAAGGGAAAAAATATAGGATCCTGCCATCAACCAAGTGGTTTGAGTCCAGGCAGAATCTAAGCCATCACTCAAAGTGCATCATCTGCTCCAGTGCTAGCTCTCCTGATTCTTTTGCAGGTCAGCAGGCATGAAACAGTTAATAGCAAAGGCCATGAGAAAGTTGCCCTCTGTTACAGAGAAATCACTTTTAGTTCCAGTTGCTACTGCCAGAGGAATTGCTTGAAAGAAAGAGAGGAAATAATAAGGAAGAAAAGGACTTTTGAATCACATGAGAGTCTTTGAGGACTCCTCAGCCCAGATGTTCCTCTTATTGCTTCAAGCCAATAATTTTCTTTTTTTTTTTTTGACATCAATATTATAGTTTTATTATAGTAACAAATAGTTGGTACAGTGAGACCTACACACATATACAGAATTATATTTAAATTCATATAGAATATTTACATTTTAAGTTATACTTTTGAAATTAGAAGATGAAGTACAGCTTAAGTTTGACAACAGAGAAATATATAAGACAAAAATAGACAGAGTTAACAATAAAAACACAACTATCTGTTCTTGATATAAGATGTGGAAACTTTTTGTCAGAAAGCTACATCTTCTTAATCTGATTGTCCAAATCATGAAAATATGGATGATTCAGTGCCATTTTGCCAGAAATTCTTTTGGCTGGATCGTAGATTAACATTTTTGAGAGCAAATCCAAGCCATTTTCATCCAAGTTTTTGACATGGGATGCTAGGCTTCCTGGTTTCCACTTGGGAAATGTATTCTTATAATCCTGTAAAGATTCCACTTCTGGCCAGACTTCATTATTGGGAGTGCCCAAAGCTCTGAAAATCCTGAAGAGCTGATCAATTTCTGAATCCCCATGGAAAAGTGGTTTCTTAGTTGCTAGTTCAGCAAATATGGTGCCTATACTCCAAATGTCAACTGGAGCCGAGTAACGAGCTGACCCCAGCAATACTTCCGGTGATCTGTACCAGAGTGTTACTACCTCATGTGTATATACTCTAATAGGTATTCCAAAAGCTCTGGCAAGGCCAAAATCAGCCAGTTTAATTGTTCCTTTGTCATCAATCAAGAGATTTTGAGGTTTTAAGTCTCTGTGAAGAACTCTTCTAGAGTGACAAAACACAATCCCCTGTAGGATTTGGTATAAATAACTCTTAACAAGTGAAGAATCCATGTATTGGCCAGGAGGGATAGAATCCAAGTATTTCTTCAGATCCATGGAAAGAAATTCAAAGATGAGATATAACCTGGAATCCTGCATAAGCACATCCTGAAGACTGACTATATTTGGATGACGAAGTTCCTTTAATAGAGAAATTTCCCGAATTGCAGTACTAGGAACCCCTTCCTCTTCACTTTCTAGTCTGATTTTTTTCATGGCTACCACTTGACCTGTAGTTTTGTGTCTACCTTTATACACAACTCCATAGGTACCTTCTCCAATTTTCTCTATTTTAGTATAATCTTCCATAGTTAGTCAATAGGTATGGTAGATCCTGGCTTTTTATCCCACGGCGGCCGCAGAGGCAACTACCACAGCCGCGTCGCTTTCCGCTCAACTTCCAAGCCAATAATTTTCTAAAGTCCCCAAGCACAGATGTAGCTTCCTTCACTCTCTTTACATTGTGTTTGAATTCATGGCAGACCAGGAGACTGTCCTGCTAAGTATGGACTTCCTCAGTAGCAGGAACTAGGGACAGAATTAAGAATGATATAACCTATATGAAATAACTGTATTCCATAACTGGAAATACAGTGCTGAGCCCTGTATAGTCTGTGCACTTTAAACGCCAGTCCTTGGAAAATTGAAGACAAAGACTGATATAACTTTTTGATTAGAAAATCAGCAGAAAGGCCAGACACAGTGGCTCAGGCCTATAATCCCAGACTTTGGAGGCTGAGGCAGGTGGATCACTTGAGGTCAGTAGTTCGAAACCAGCCTGACTAACATGGTGAAACCCTGTCTCTACCAAAAATTAGCTGGTTGTGGTGGTGCACGTCTGTAATCCCAGCTACTTGGAAGGCTGAGGCAGGAGATTTGCATGAACCCAGGAGGCAGAGGTTGCAGTGAGCCAAGATTGCGCCATTGCACGCCAGCCTGGGCAACAGAGCTAGACTCCATTTCAAAACAAGAAAATCAGCCTAAAAGACTAGAAGAGGACTGCATGAGCCAGGACTATTACTGGAGAAACAGGTCTGGGCCAGATTCAGGGCTTCACCTTTTCCAATTTTAGAGAAGAGGGCTTGGAAGTTAAGGACTGAGACCCTCCACCATTACCCCCCACTCCATGCTAAGAGAACATTAGGTGGCCTCTGTTTGTAAGGCTCTGTGCTACTAAGCAGGACTTGCTTGCTATTGAGGTGGGTAGGGTGGTAAGTTATGTAAGGTTCTTTACAGGTGGTTAAAGAAGCTGAAGAAAGAGTAGGTTTGGAAAAGGGAAAGAAGTGTTGGTGCAGCAGCCAGCCACAGGGAAAGGAACTTGGTGGCTTTGGAGGGAGGGAACTGGGAGCAGTATCTTCGTAGGATTGACATGGATTTACATTTGGATTGTAAAATGAGAACTTGCTGAGTCTGATCCCAGACTGAAGGGTCCATGGTGCTCCTATCTGCTGCTAGATTATTTGTAACATGCTGTTTATATGCATGTATATGTACAAATGTAAGAGCTCTTAGCAAACTTAAACATACACACAAAGACTTAAATTACTTGTTTAATACAGTGGTGTCCAGTTGGTGGGGGCAGGGGGGGGGGGGTTGTGTTTTGTTTGGTTGGTTGGTTGGTTGTTTTTTTGGCCAAATTCTTTCAAATCTAATTTGGAAGCTGAATGTCTAAAACAGATAAACGCAAGAGCTACTGTGATAGAAGCAGTCAGAAAATGAGGAGAGCAAAAGTATTTACTGAAAAAGGAAGACATGACCCAGTTCAATTTCCTGGTGTATGACCTCAGTTGTGCCGTTGTCACTAGTGTCTCTCAGGAAGAGGAACCTAATTCCAGCTCTGCCACTTAGAGCCGCTGAGCTTGAGCAAATTATCTCATCTCTCTGAGGATTCGTTTCCACCTCTGTAAAATGGGGATATTTGCACGTAGTTTTAGAGACCTGTGTGTGGATGATTAAATGATCTACATGAAAACCCCTAGCATCATATCTGGTGAAAGCAGTGAAAGATGCTGGACAAGTGTTTCTTTCCTTTTTGCAGCCAATTAAAATTCTGGGAAACTATAACTCTACCCAGGCTTTCTAGTGGCTTATTTTTGATGATTCCATTGTAGTGCTTAAATAAGGATAACTTTTCCAGAAACATCCCAAGTTTCTCATTTATCAGGCTTTTGGAATTTCCAGTACTTCACAAAGACTTCGCTGTCAAGAATGCAGGGTGTAGCACAATATTTCAGTAAGTCCCCAGTTCTACATGGAGGGGAGCAGTGTGCCTCAAATGTTCTTGGCATTGATTCACATTTAAATATATATTTTAATCATGACATGGACATACATATAAAACTGAAACAAAAGTTTCATGAAATTAACAAACATAATGTGATGTATTTTATTTTTTTCATTAAAAATAGACTACTGGTCACAATCATTAAATTAATTTCACAAACCTCTAATGGACACTGTTCACAGTTCAAAAAACACTGTGTGATATGCACTTTGAAAACAGCCACTGTACTTATTTTTAGGACCCTCTAGAGTGATTTTTTTTTTCTGAAATGCCAGAATTCTAATATTTTTATCACATATTTTCACCAGAAATTAACTTCATCTCTTGGTTTTAGCTTCTCTGCATAGAATACTACATGCCTAAGTTTGTGTTGCCACATTTGCATGGGCACAAACAAATTATTTTTACCACAAATATTTAACCTTCCAGTTTGGAGCTGCGCTGTGCATAGACTAAACAGCATCGAGATACCAACTGTGTGTTTATAATTAAAGAAAAATGCTGTGCAAAGCCACAGAAGGAAGGAAGAGGCAATTCATGTTGGAGGTGTGTGTCACTGCTATGAAGGGATTCCCTGAGGTGCCTGGCTGCACACGGACTCCTTCATTCCCGCCAGGTTGCGAATACCATACCAAGTGCTGTGGACACAGAGAGGAAGACAAAGCACCTGCCTGTAAAGAATCTGGAGGGGGAGTCTGACAGGAAATTATTTCATTGTAATTGTGCAAATCATATAATTGGTGGTTTCAAACTTTGTATAGATGGGAGAGTTGCCAAATCTCCACAGGGAAGAGGGTGGTCTCCAGAGACACATGCTGACCCCACTTCACCAGGCTCTTGGAAATACAGAAATCCTTCCCAATAAGAAAGGAAAGGTTTATGATACAGAGAGGGAGGGGATAACCGGTGTGTGGGCTTTGACCTGGAGACACGTGGCCCGGCTCTTCTCACAGAGCATACAGAATGCTCTGCTCTCCTATAACAGGCACATCAGGGCCCCATCTCATCTTTGTGGCATACAGAAGCAAATGTCACTCCATGGGCAGGATTCAGAAGCAGCCGTGTGCTGCTCTTAGTACAAGGGCAAAGGACCCAGCATTAATGCAATGCCTTCTACCACCTTCCCCGACTACCAGAACTTGGCCCACCCATCATCCGCCTCCTCTCTCCCAGGTCCCTTGGTGCCCAGGTTTTCTCTGCATACTTGCTGCATTTCACTCTCTGGTGTCCTGGAAGCAGCTCTGCCCTCTTCCAACCTTGCTCAGCCTTGAAAGGGCCACTTTTTCACATTGGTGCAGGTGGATCTTTTGCTACCATCCAAACCTTGCTCCTGTTCTTCTGTCAACTTTCATCAGCTTGCCTGGAACAACTCATCACCTCTCCAGTGCTCTGCTCTGCGCAATGAAACTGCCCTTCTTAGATCAGAGCCACGCCCCTGTCATTCATGCACCTCCTACATCCCGCCCCTGACTGTTGGATGTCCCACTTCTGTTCAGACTTCAACTCTGATTTTAGCGTCAGATACAGAAGCTTTTTCCTGCTAAGTCCTCTCCTCCCAGATCTAATTCACAGCCAGCAAGTCCAGCTGTGGGCAGTCTTTAAGCATTTACTCTGAAGCTCTAATGGGCCTAAAACTGATGCAAGAGCCACTGCCCACCACTCAGAAAGGAAATACTCACTGTGTCCATTTGGCTTCAATCAGACAAACCCAAGACATTCAGAGGGATGAGCCAACCTGGAAAATATTCCTAAAAATCTACTTTAACAGAGAAGACAAAGTTCCAGAAAAGAATGGAAGAAATTATAGAAACTGGAATTATACAAACTAGTAGGGGCATGGAGGCATGCACACAGCACAGAAGAAAGGAAGTCACTCTGTTTGCTGCAGTGTCATGATAGCATGAGACATTGACCAAGAATGTACATTTAAACTGTCTGGGAAACCTTGCTCTGCTCCAGAAAACAAAGAAAAGGAGGTTGAAAAGAGTCAGTGTAGGGCTAATGTGGACTGGGAGGAGGGGAGGAGTATGTCTAATCTCAAGCAGCCTGCACTGTGCAAAGATACAGCCAGTGCTTAGGAATACTGGGATACACCTGCCAAGATTGCCAGAGAAGCATTTCATGGGAGTGGACCCCCAGGCCAAGCCACAGGAATTGCAGTTGAGCAACCTCAAATCGAAAGACAGGCTGCAAGGTGGGAGGTGAAGACATGAGCAGAAGAAGGCTGGAGAGACTGAGCAGAGACTTCAAAGCTGGAAATCAGACTTTAGCAAATGGGAGGTCAGGACAAGGAAGTAGGGGTGTGTCACAGAGCAGATAAGAGGCAGAGCCCACACTGGAACATGTTACTCACGGTGCCTACCATCTCAGCCTCCCCTGCATGCATCTACAACTTCATCCCTAATATTTGTTGAGCATGCAGCCCTAACCATGATGGTTTGTAAAGTGTGTGTCCCTGGCCATAGGTGATTGGATCAAGACAGGGAAATGCTCCCAGAACCCTTTTTAAGTGCTGTCCAGTGACGTATGGCATATGAAGGTGAGTTGGGTCAATTAGATTCCACCACCAAACTTAGAAATGTCAGGAAAATGAGGCAATCATCGTTTCTTCTCTTGGGCTTCTCTAAGAATCCATTTCTATTTCTGTTCCATGAGTATTTGATCACAGAACACCATAAGCACTCCCATCTAAAACTTTCATTGAACTACCTTGACTGAGCCTCTGTTTCCATACAACCTGAAGACTCACCAGAACATGTATTGACTCACAGCTATCCAAAGCACAGTGACAAATGGTGTGTTTGGCCACTCCATTTGTTTTCACATAGTTTTACACAGTGTAGAAGTGCTGAAGATGAAACCTTAAAAGGGTTGGAACCCCCATGAGTAGAAAAGAAGCTGGAATTATGGAAATAACATAAATAGGCATGAGATTCATCCTACTGGGAGGAGGTCACACTTTCAGGAAGAGAAGCACAAATGAGGGAGGATCCCCACTCACTTGAGTGTAAAAAAAAAAAAATGCTGCTTTTAGAAGCTCAGAAAGATCACAATGACTCTTCCTGGGGGGAGGGGGGCATAAAGAAGTTTCGTGGAGACTCAAAAGGTCTGATGGCAAGAT